GCCTGCGTCCAACGGGGTCCAGCAGAGATCCTGATGGACCCAGAGGTCCTTGGCGTCACCACACGCTCCAGACCTGTCCTCTCGGGGACAGGGACAGGCCGGAAGCACACAGGGCTGAGGGCACTACTCCCTCTTGCTCGCTCAGAACCCCCTGCCTGGGGCTGACAACGGGCGATGTGGCCAGCAGCCCTCAGATACCACCTCAGTTCCCGCACGGCACAGAGCCATCTCGACTGACACAGGGGCAGACCCAGGCTCAGGGACGCACAGAAGCTCAAGGACTGGGCAGTGGGGGACAGAGCATGAAGTCTGGACTGGACCCCAGAACCTGATCTTCTGAACACCACCCACTGCCCAATGTTTTCTTATTATTATTATTATTATTATTATTATTATTATTGGTTGGTGGAGGTGGGTTGGGGTCCACACCCAGCAATGCTCAGGGCTGACTCCTGGCTCTGCACTCAGGAATCACTCCTGGCGGTGCTAGGGGACCCTATGGGATGCTGGGAATCGAACCCGGGTCGGCTGCGTGCCAGGCAAACGCCCTCCCCGCTGTGTTATCACTCCAGCCCTATGTTATTTCTTTGGGTATATGCGCTATGCACCGAACTGGTATTCGAAGATTTTTTTTTGTTTTGTTTTTTGCTTTTTGGGTCCCACCCGGCGATGCTCAGGGCTGACTCCTGACTCTGCGCTCAGGAATCACTCCTGGCGGTGCTCGGGGGACCTTATGGGATGCCAGGGATTGAACCCGGGTCGGCCGCGTGCCAGGCAAATGCCCTCCCCGCTGTGCTATCGCTCCCATTTTTTTTTCTTTTTGGATCCCACTCAGCGATGCTCAGAGGTTCCTCCCGGCTCTGCACTCAGGAATCACTCCTGGCGGTGCTCAGGGGACCTTATGGGATGCTGGGAATCGAACCCGGGTCGGCCGCATGCTCTTAAGTCATTCTCCGGTGGCAAGTCACAGACATAAGTGACTGCTAATTCCGCCAGTAAGGAACGTTTGTGCTCAATGTCACCGGGACGGAAGCCGCCGCCCCGAGCTCCGAGCTGCTAATAGCAATATTGTGCCTCTGCGCGTACATTATTTATATCGCTATAATTACATGAGCCGAATCATCTATTATGAGAGGGGGAAAAAAAATCTACAGCGCCCTGGGTGTTTTCTCCGCTTTCACAGATTCCGAGAGAAATCGGGAAACAAAGACAAGAGAATGTCTGGCGCTTGGACGCGGGCGGCTGGCATTTCATCTGGCCTGGGAAAGGGCGTGAGAGACGTTGGACAGATTGAAACTCGAACTTCAAGACAGACAGACGGCGGGGGTCAGGAAATCCTCTCTTGCCATTCTTTTATGTAAATTTTGGGTCCCACCCGGCACTGCTCAGGGCTGACTCCCAGTTCTGCACTCAGGAACCACTCCTGGCGGTGCTTGGGGGACCCTATGGGATGCCGGGAATCGAACCCAGGTCGGCCGCGTGCCAGGCCAATGCCCTCCCTGCTGTGCTACCACTACTGCCCATATCTGTCTGTCTGTGTCAATCCAGCGATGCTCAGGGCTGACTCCTGGCTCTGCACTCAAGGAATCACTCCTGGCGGTGCTCAGGGGACCCTAGGGGATGCCGGGGATCGAACCCGGGTCGGCTGCGTGCAAGACCAACGCCCTGCCTGCTGTGCTGTTGCCCAGGTCCCTGGTTCATCACTCTTAATTGATGGACTGATTGATTGATTGCTTTTTGGGTCCCACCCGGCGATGCTCAGGGGTTCCTCCTGGCTCTGCACTCAGGGATCACTCCTGGCGGTGTTCGGGGGACCCTAGGGGATGCCAGGGATTGAACCCAGGTCAGCAAACGCCTTCCCCGCTGTGCTATCGCTCCAGCCCCCCCCCCCCGCCCTCCATGACATTTTCGTTCGGTTTTTGATTTACACAGAACAGCCACTTAGGTCACTTAGCCCCCGGTGCTGCGTGGTCCCTATGAGCACTGCTGGGGGACCCTGGGCACTGCTGTGGGGCGCCAGGACTGCCCAGTACCTGCTCTGTCCTCTGCTGGCCACTAGCTCCACTGGCCAGATACTGCTAAGGGGTCCCCAGGGCAAGAGGCTGGACTGTGGATGCCACAGCCTCATTGTGGGTCTGCGGGGGCAGAGAACACCGACCCAGGCCCGAGTGAGGCTATGGGGGGACCGGTGAGGACCCAAGTGAGGGGGCGGACATGGCGGGGGAGGGCGCTTCTGTCGAGACTTTCTGGGGAGAGAGCCCACAGGAAGGCAGTAGCTGCCGGGCGTGCTTGGCCGTGCTGCCAGCCAGAGGCAGGAACCCAGGAAAGATGGATGGACCATGGCCAAGCCGGAGAGTGGCCAAGTGGAGGTTGGCCAAGACCGAGCATGGCCAAGCCAGAGAGTGACCAGGTCAGAATATGGTTAAGCTGGACTGGGGCCAAGCCGGAGTGTGGCCAAGCCGGCGAACGGCCAAGCCAAACATGGCCAAGCAGGAAGGGCCGCCAGGGTGGACAGTGGCCAGGCTGAGGCGAGCCGGAGTGTGACCAGGTTGGGACACAGCTGAGCCGGAGTGTGGCTGGGTGCAGCCCTGGGTAGGGAGGTGGGGCCGACTCTTGGGACTCGGGGGGGGGGGGTCCGTCCCTCACGCATGTCATGGAACATGTGACAGCCCACACACAGGCGAAGGAAGCTCGTGACCAGCACTCACGGCCACACCACATGGAGTCCCGGAGACCCTCGCCTATTAGCGCCCCCCCCCGGGGCGAGGCAGCCCCGTTGACACCTAGAACATGCCCTGATGGAAGCCGATAACAGCAATCCATGGTACCCTCCTGTGGCCTCCACCCAACGGAGGGGGGCCCTGTGAGAAACAGCCCCCAGCGGGGGTGGGGGGGCGGGCAGAGGGAGAGGCAGTGCCGCCTAATGGTTAGGGAGTGGCTGAGGCAGGCTGGCTCAGCACTGCAGGGGCGCGGGGAGGGGCTGTGTGCACCCCTGTGCCCCCAAAGGCAGCAGCACCTCCCTGTCCATCTGTTCATCCCATCCACCACCCACCCAGGGGGGTCCACTCGCTCCCCTGGATCGACGGTCGCCAGGGACTCGTGCTGTGAGTCAGTTCGGCCGGGTGGTGGGGAGTGGTCTGGGGGCGGCCGTGGGGGAAGGCAAGAGTGGTCCCCACCCTGGACAGGTCTCCCAGGTGCCCTGGTGGGCAGTGAAGGTGACCCCAGGGTGGCTGTGCAGGGGACGGCTGAGTGGGGGGTGCCCTGGCACCCACAGAACAGGGTCCCAGGGAATCAGGCACCTCGGGGAAGAAGCGGGGCATGGGGCGGGCTGGGTGGGCACAGGAGAGGGGACAGACAGGTGACAGCCAGACCAGGCTGGGGCAGGTCCCCCGGCCACAGCCCGCCCCCACCTCCCCCTGCACCCATCCCGACCCCCTCAGCCCTGCTGGGAACTCAGAGACCCCCCCCCGACACCCACCCTCCCACCCAACCACCCACCCATGGGAACCTTCTGGATCCTTGCGGCTCTGCCAGCAGACACAAGACGCCGGGTCAGAGGGGACTGGGGCGGGATTCAGGCTCAAGGGGGCACCCCTGGGGTCTGGGCCATGGACAGCGCAGAGCTGAGTGGAAACAGCCCAGGGCCGCCCTTGACCGCCCAACCATCAAATCTGTGTGTGTGCATGGAGCCGGGGTGGGGGGGGGCGGTGACAGCTCCCCACAGGGCTCAGGGCTGGCGTCCCGGCTCCCCATCTGCACCGCAGGGACCCCCATGCCACGCCCGACGTGTGACCCGTGTCCCAGAGCTGCAGGAAGCCAGCTGGCGGGAGGGTCGCCCTCGGCAGGGGACAGAGGAAGGACCCAGAGCAACTGGACGTCTCCGGGAGGAGTTGCCTCCAACCACACGCGTGAGCACACGGACAGACGTGCACGTATGTGGATGCACGCAGACATGACAGGCATGCAGACACACAACGTACACACAGCACACGTGGGCTCGTATGTCAGCAGAGACCCCCTCACGCACACATGTAGACAGACCCACCTATGCACAGACGCCCACACCCAGGTGCAAACACACATACACGCACGCACAGACCCACCCGAGTACACGCACACGCGAAGATCCACCCCCGCAGGCATGCAGCCTCACATGCACACACGCACACACAGCCTCGTATGTGCACACGCAGATCCACCCCTGCACACAGCCTTGCAAATGCACATGCACACATGAACACGTGGATCCACCCTTGCACGCAGTCTTGCATACACACGTGCGCACACAACCTCATACATGCACACATGCACACGCAGATCCACCCCCGCACGCACGCAGCCTCACACATACACATGCACAGGTGCACACGCAGATCCACCCCTGCACACAGCCTTGCACATGCACATATGCACACGCAGCCTCTTATGTGCACACGTCCACATACAGATCCACCCTGCAGAGCCTCGCAAATGCATACGCACACAAGAACACGCGAATCCACCCTTGCACGCTGTCTTGCACACGCACACGTGTGCACGCAACCTCCTACTCGCACACATGCACGTGCAGATCCACCCCCGCACGCGTGCAGTCTCACGTGTGCACACGCACACGGGCACACGCAGACCCACCTCCACACGCAGCCTCGCCCATGCACACGCACACGTGGACACGCAGACCCACCCCTGCACACAGCCTCGCAAACGCACACGCGCACATGAACACGCGAATCCACCCTTGCACGCTGTCTTGCACACGCACACGTGTGCGCGCGCAACCTCGTACGCGCACACATGCACGTGCAGATCCACCCCCGCACGCGTGCAGTCTCACGTGTGCACACGCACACGTGCACACGCAAATCCAACCCTGCACAGAGCCTCGCAATGCACACGCACAACATTCACACGCAGACCCACCCCGCACGCACGCAGCCTGGCACGCGTGAGAATGCAGCCCCAGCCCCGCCCGCACACAGCACGCACATGCGTGCGCGCACTCACGTTGTAGAGCACGGTGGTCCAGCCCTCCATGGTGATGCACTGGAACACGGTGAGCACCGCGAACAGGATGTTGTCGAACTGCGTGATGCCGTCGTTGGGCCCGATCCAGTCGCGGCACTCGTAGCCCGCAGGGCAGCCCTGCACGCCGCAGGGGTGAGGGGGGTCGAACCCCTCCAGGATCCCTGTGGGCGCGGGGTGGGGGGAGCGGAGACCACCAGCTGAGCACGGCCCTGGGAGGTCCGCCCACACCCCCTGAGCGCGCCCCCCGCCCCCCGCCTGGGGGAATCCCCCTTCCAGCCTCCCCTGGGGGGCTTCCTGCTCGTTTGGGGGGGCAACGATAAAACAGCACCCCCCAGGGTGGGGGTCTCAGCTCCGTACTCCCCCAGCCTCAATTTTGAGTCGAGGAAAAGACAGAAAAATGCCCCCCGGGTCCCCCCACAGTCCTGCTGGGAGCCACCAGGGGCCGGTCGGGCGCCTCCCACGCACCCCTGCATGCCCCTCCTCGGCTTGGAAGGAGCCCACGTGCCCCAGAGCTGGGGGTCTCTGCGCCGCGCCCCCCCTCCCCAGCCTCCCACACCCAGGGGTGGGTCTCTGCGTGGGTCACAGTGATGGGGGGAGGACGGAGGCTGGAAGGCGACCCCCCAGACACAAACCGGGACACCAGGGTCACGCAGGGGGCATGGGGGGCTCTCAGCTGTGGTCGGGGGTCCCGGGGGGAGGGGTGGGGGGCGCACCGGAAGTGTTGGTGAAGCAGGCGCGGTGCAGCTTGCCACTGTAGAACTCCAGGCCGATGATGGCGAACATGAGGATGGCGAAGAAGAGGAGGAGGCCGATCTGCAGCAGGGGCACCATGGCCTTCATGATGGACTTGAGCACGATCTGCAGGCCTGCGGGGGCCGGCGGGGGTCAGCGCTCCTCTGTGAGGGACCCCGGCCCTTCCCCCAATGCCCCCCGGCCCAGCCCTGAGCCCCGGTCTACAACTGTCCCACCCCGGTGGGAACCCGCCTTCTCATCCCACCCCCAGAGATGTGGGGGGCGGGGGTGGGGGAGCCCCCTCTGTCCCCTTGGTATGGCCGACTTTTCGCACTTTCTAGAAAGATCTAGAAAAAAATCGAAACTAAAAGCCGCTAGAAGTTTTATTTATTTATTTATTTATTTATTGCTTTTTTTTGGGGGGTCCCACCCGGCGAGGCTCAGGGCAGACTCCTGACTCAAGGAATCACTCCTGGCGGTGCTCGGGGGGACCCTATGGGATGCCGGGGATCGAACCCGGGTCGGCCACATGCCAGGCCAACGCCCACCCTGCTGTTGCCATCACTCCGGCCCTTGCTAAAATTTTTTAAACAGGACGGGAGGCGTGGGCGTGCTGAACCCCATAGTTCATCATCGCGGGGGGGCATCGCAGGGGGGGGGGCTTCTTCCTCCCCAATTCTCCTGACCCACGGAGGGCGCACCCGAGCAAACAGATAGACAGATGGACAGGCAAAAGAGAGAGAGAGAGAGAGAGAGACAGAGAGACAGAGAGACAGAGAGACAGAGACAGACAGAGAGGCTGAGGGGTGGTCAGAGGGACGAGACGGAGACGCAGAGATAAAGACAGACAGGCAGGCAGGCAGGCAGGCAAGCAGACAGACAGACACAGATAGACAGACAAGCAGACACAGACACACAGAGAGGCAGACACGCAGACAAACAGGCAGGCAGACTTGGATAGACAGACACAGACAGACAGACGGATGGACAGGTCCTCACTGGGGATCCCCGACACCAGCTTCAGGGGCCTCAAGACCCGCACGGCCCGCAGGGTCCTCAGATCCACGTGCGTGTTGAAGTGGGTCCCCGCCGTGGCCAGGATGCTGTGGGCAGAGACACAGGGTCAGGGTGCCCGGTCCACCCTCGGACAGGCCGGGCGCTGCCAACTCCCAGGGGGGCGCCGAGGGGGTGATTCAGCGGGGGTCCCCCAGGCTAGTAGACTCAGTCACATTCTGGGTCTCACATCCCCGGGAGGAAGAACGCATCAGGCCCCCAGGGGTGACACCAGCCCCACTGCAGGTCTGCCCCCAAACCTGGTCCCCGTGCCCTCAGACCCCCAAACCAGACCTCGCTCCTCCCTGCCCCGGAGAACAACCCCTCACTCCCGTCTCGCTCCTCAGGGACATCTCCTGCTACCAGTCACCACCACCAGGCTATGGGATTCCCACCCCCCAACATGCCCCAGAATCACACCTGCACATATGCACACACGCACACACAGGCGTGCCTCCCTCTACGGCGGCTGTATGCCCATGCGTACTCACACACAGCGCACAACTCCCTCCACACGCCTATATATGCACACACACATGTATACACACACACTCCTACACACACAGACACATGCACACACACTTCCCTCCATACTTCATTTTTTTTGCTTTTTGGGGGGCCCATTCAGCAGTGCTGAGGTTCCTCCTGACGGTGCTCAGGGGAACCCTATGAGATGCCAGGAATTGAACCCGGGTCAGCCGCGTGCCAGGCAAACGCCCTCCCCACGGTGCTATGGCTCCGGCCCAAGTCATCATTTTGAACCCCATCCCCAGTGCTGACCCCACCCCCTCTGAGTCCACCTTTCACACTTCCTGGGGGGGAGGCTCGACCCCTGTGGCTGTGATGGGAAGCCTTGACCCCAGGGTTTCCCTGAGGGAAGAGGAGGGCTCAGACCTGCTTCCCCCAGACTCGGGGCATCAGGGCCAAGTTCCTGCCCATGGTCCTGGGTTTCTCCCCCAGTGGCTCACGAGGCACAGCCAGGGAAACGTTTGCCATGTGTCCACCATGACGCTCCGGTCATTCGAGTCCGGGTGCTGAAGGTGACAGCAGCAGGGTGGCAGTGACAAGGGCAGAGGTGGCTGCGGTCACGATGATGGTGGTGATGATGGTGATGGTGATGTGATGGTGGTGATGATGGTGATAATGGTGATGATGGTGTCGATGATGGTGATGATGGGGATAGAGATGGGGATGACGGCGGTGGTGGTGGTGATGATGTGATGGTGATCTTGATGTGATGGTGGTGATCGTGGTGATAATGGTGATGGTGATGATAGTGATGATGGTGTCGATGATGATGGTGATGATGGGGATGGGGACGATGGTGTTGATGGTGATGTGATGGTGATTATGGTGATGGTGATGTGATGGTGGTGATGGTGATGGTGATGATAGTGATGATGGTGTCGATGATGATGGTGATGATGGGGATGGGGATGATGGTGTTGATGGTGATGGTGATGTGATGGTGGTGATGATGGTGATGATGATGGTGATTATGGTGATGGTGATGTGATGGTGGTGATGGTGATGGTGATGATAGTGATGACGGTGTTGATGGTGATGAGGCGATGGTGATGTGGATAATGGTGATGATAGTGATGACGGTGTTGATGGGGATAGAGATGGTGATGATGACGGTGTGTTGATGATGATGGTGATGATGGTGATGGAGATGGTGATGCTGGTGGTGATGCTGGTGGTGGTGATGATGGTGGTGATGATGGTGATAACGGTGATGTGATGGTGGTGATGATGGTGATGATGGGGATGGATGGTGATGATGATGGTGGTGATGGTGATGATGGTGGTGATGCTAATGATGATGGCAATGATAATGGTGATAGCGATGATGGTGATGATGATGATGATGATGGAAGAGGCAATGGGAGGGTCATGCTAAAAGAGCACAGGGCATGGGGGCTGGAGGAATAGCATGGTGGGTAGGGCCTTGCACGCGGCCAACCCGGGTTTGATTCCCGGCATCCATAGGGTCCCCCTGAGCACCACCAGGAGTAACTCCTGAGTGCAGAGCCAGGAGGAACCCTTGCATCACCGGGTGTGACCCAAAAAGCAAAATAATAACAACAATAATAATAATAAAATAAAAAATATGTATATAAAAGTTAAAATTTTAAAAAAAAGAGCACAGGGCATGTCCCAGCCTGCCACGCGCCCTGCTGCACTCAGACACCATTAGCCCCACCACCCCTTTCTGAGTCTGAGAACTGAGGCTCCGGGAGAGAGTGAGCTTGGCCCGGCTCGGGTCACAGGCCCAGAAATGGTCCCACGGAGACACAGACCCAGAAACTGAGTTTCTGGCAGAAGAGCACTTAAAGCAGCTGCGTGCAGCAAGGAAAACTCAGGGTCACCAGGACCTGGGCCTTGCTTGCCTCAGCTGACCACCAGGGCCGGGCCTTGGGGCCTCCTGACAACAGTGCCCAAGGAAGCTTCCGAGAGCTGAGAGGAACGGAACTTGTTGGGGAGAGAAATTCCCCATGGGAAGAACTTGTGGGCAGAAATACAAGTTCTCTGAGTTGTTCTGCAGGCTGCAGTGAGGCGCACCACCCCAGTGAGGTGCCCCCTACCCCAGGATAGGCGTTTGTGAGGCATCTCTGCAGAGCCCAGAGCAGATTATTCGGATGCCAGTCTCATCAGATTCATGTGAAGCCCAGGATCTGACCCCTGGCATGCCAAGTGACCCAGGGCAAGTGGCCACTCTGAGCTCCCTGTGCCCCCCTCTGCTGACAAACACCCTCCAAAGCAGTTCTTAGGTGACATCAAGACAGGCCACAGTTCATGGACTTGAGAGGCAGGAACTGCCTCTTCTGGGATGTCGGGGAGTTTGAGGAGCCAGGAAAATTGACAAGACTCTGGAGCTACCCCATTCCGTTTGTCCAGGACAAAGCTGGACGCGGGGAGAAAGTGGCCGGCTGAGCCCAGGTGGTAGGAGAGAAGAAGGAGAGGAAGGAAGGAGTCCCACCAACGCCAGCGCCTCGATCCTGCTGTTCCTGCCATCTGCCTCCTCCAGATACTTCTGCAGCTTGCAGGGTGGTGGATGTTTTGAGACACCCCTTCCTTAAAAAGCCCCTCCTTGGGGCCAGAGAGACCCCAGGGATTACAGCACCTGCCGTGTACGCAGCCAACACCAGTCTAACCCCCGGGCCCATGTGGTCCCCCAAACATCGCCAGGAAGCCCCCGAGTCCATCCTAGGTATCTCAGGGGGTCCCCAGAAGTACCCCACTGCCCCCGCATGCAACCACTATCCGGGTGTCTGAGCACAGGTCTCCTGAGTACTCCCTGGAGCACTCCCACCCTGAAAAAGACCCTCCAGGCCTAAACTCATCCGAGTTGGGCACCTGCCAATCACTTCTCCTCTCTTCTTCTCTCTTCAGGAAACCACTGAAGACATCGGAGTGGCAGGTAGCCCGGCCCGAGCTCCTGGCACGCGAGTTGACCTGGACACGAGCACCAGGGCCCAATCTAAGGGCATGAAGGCCCCTTTCTGTATCATGAAAAGAAGAAACGCCGGGGTGGTCCGAGAAAAGCACCAATGCCCCCCTTTCACAGAGAACTGTGAGGCTCAGACAGAGCCAGGATGCAGTCATGACAGGTGGCAGAAATGAGAAACATCAGCTAGGCTCAGGTTCAGTTCCTGGGACTGAAACAGATTCAGTTTCCCAACAATGAAACAATGTAACCAGCCAACCTGAACCCTTCCTGGGCTCAGCAAATGGGCCAATCCATCAATTCTCACAATGCCCCAGAAATTGTTTTTTTTATTAACCCTAAAAGAATGAGTAGTGGGGCTGGAGCGATAGCACAGCAGGGAGGGCGTTTGCCTTGCACGCGGCTGACCCGGGTTCGATTCCCAGCATCCCATTGGGTCTCCCAAGCACCTCCAGGAGTGATTCCTGAGTGCAGAGCCAGGAGTAACCCCTGTGCATAGCCGGGTATGACCCAAAAGGGAAAAAAAAATGAGGACCACTATTACCCCAGACACTTCCAAAACACCTTTGATTTGGTAACTAAGTAAGATTTTTCTGGAACAATAAGGCATGTACTGCCTGCGTAATCAAACCCTATATAAACTGCTCGCTGCGTGAAGTTGGGGTCGCTATCAAGAGACCCCTCTGTGGGTGAGATCATTGACCCCAGTATACTGGAATAACCAGAGCTCTGGCAGCTGAAGACCTCCAGAACCAGCCACCACCATGCTGAGACCACTCTCCACACGCATGAAGGTACCGGCAGAGGAATAAAGGCATGCGGGTCTCGGGGCTGAGATCTCCAAGCCTGCTTGGATCGGGGCTGAGCATCCTCCACCCAGATCCTCCAAATTCCAGTAGGCAGGGGTCACACCCACCAACTGGCCCCCTGGCGCCGTGTAATCCCATCAACAGCCAAGACCCAGAGACTATAAAACCCAACTCCCGGAAGCGCGCGACACAAATGCGTCCACACGACATCTTAGTATCTCATTATTACTTTGGACAAACTGGCAGGCCACCGAATGTAACCTGCCCACACGGCAGAGTCTGGCAAACTCCCCGTGGCGTACCCAATATGCCGAATACCAGTAACAATGATGGGTCTCATTCTCCTAACTCTGAAAGAGCCTTGAATGTGGCACTTTTTAGAATCTCAGGGCTAGGACAAAGGAGACATTACTGGGGCCTGCTCGAGGCAATTTGGGAACCCAGAATTCCGGGCATAACAAGGATACGTTCCCATGGGACTCAGACTGAGTCCGGAGCCCCCTCCCAGCGGGGTGAAAAGAACCCCAAGGTCACGAGATCTTCCCTTGTTCTGAGACCCCCGCATTCTGGGAAGCAATGACCCATCTGAGTTCTGCCTACACCCCCCCCATGCCCAAGACTCTGATTTGGGTGAGTGGCGCATGCTTCTTTAAAAAGTATTTCTGGGTCATCGCTGGCGATGCTCAGGGGACACTCCTGGCTCTGCAGATCAGGGATCACTCCTGGCGGTGCTGGGGGGACCCTATGGGATGCCAGGACTGAATCTTAACTTGTAAATGCGCTCCCCACT